AATAATGACTTCTGTATTTAATACAGTAAAATGACAATAGAAATTTGGCCTAAAATCACTTAACTTTAACAAGCTGTAACGGACAACGGTTAATCGGATAAAAAAAATTATAAGAACAAAATTGTTTGTAATTTTTTTTTCTATCATATTATAAAGTTAAAAATAAGGGTTCCCATTTAAGAAAATTATAAATAAGGGTTTTTATCCTTGAAGGGGCGAAAAAAATAATGGTTTGACTACATATTATTGTAGAGTATTTTGAACTTGATATTTTTTCTCAATAATAAAATTTAAAATTCTCAATATTTTCTGAGAAAACGAGTGTCTTACCAGATTTTGATCATGCTGTATATATATATATATGTATATTCAAACTAATATTGAGTTGAAAACTATTTTAGCTTTGTTGCGAAGCTGAAAAGATTTTAGTTATACCACAATGAATTTTTGATGTCTGCCGATGAAAATCCTCAGTTTTTGTACAAAAATTTACCTTAAATTTTTAAAATATTCCAGTAATTCTGAATTGTATACGTCACTATATACGTATAATATACGTCTCTGTATATATATATATATACAGAGTGATCGGTTTATAATAAACCACTTGATTACTCACAATATAAATACAATATTAGAAAAATAAATTTTAATTTCTTTTAGTTACATATTCTTGATATATCAGCTAATAATGTCTTTTTATTATCATCCCTTAGAACTTAAAGGAGTATCAACATTATTTTTTTAATCGGTAACATACATATTTAATTAGTTTAAACTACTCATTATACATTTAATTAGTAAAATTAATTTAAACTTATAAAAAAAAAATTTCTTTAGAATAATTTTTAAATTATAAATTAAATATAAAATATAAATTGAGTTATATGTTTTCATAATTTTAACTTTTTGTGTAGTTAAAATACATATATTAATGTAACATTCCATACAACAAGGTTTTTATTGACATAATACTATTTTTTCCACTCACGCATCTATGAAAGACAACCGTTTTATAAAATAAACATGAAACTCTTAATGACTCCTACAACCAGTAGTAATAACTTTCAGCATATAAATTCAAATCAAAAACAATTTAAACTAAATTTTAGAAAGGAAGGTTTAAGTCAAAAATAATTTCATTAAAAAAAAAAATTAATTTCTTTTTATATATGTCTTATCCAAACATCCACTCCTATGTACTTGTAGCCATTAAGAAAAAAAATATCTCAAATGTTTTTTTGAATAATTGAGTAGTATTTCAAATACATTTAAATAGAAGTATTGAGTAGTTTATTAAATACTATTTAAAAAGTTTTTATTTATACACATATTATTTACAGAAACTTCATTGGAATATAATCATGACGTTCAAGATAACGAAAAAACTGAATTTTTAGATTCAATGACAAAGTAAAATATTAATTTAATTCTAATCAATCTGTAATTATACTTACAGTAGCTTGAGTTATATCAAGAACTCAAATTTTGACTTTTTATACAAGTTAGCAACTTCTAAATAATCTCAAAATATAACGAAAAACATCAGAGTTCATTTTTACTACAAATAAAAATTAATGTTATCTCAGCGTTTAGAGAATTTGAAAGAATTCTTTCATCTGGTTGAGACACCCTGATAGTTGAGTTATTTACACTTCAGCTAGATATTTACAATATCAGGACCATTTCTGGGTCTCAAGATTAAGACATCTCAAGGCGTCTTAATTCAGTCAAAGTTTAAAATTTTTAATTATGTGTTAGAAAGTTAAAATTTTTTTAGATTAATGTTTTATAAGTTGAAGAAGAAAATTTTATATTCAACTATTGATTACTAATAATCAATTAAAAATATTTAAGATTTACAGAGCTAGTTACTATGAGAATTACTATGCCATGGCTGTATCCGGACTTCATCTTTAATATTTATGGAAAATTTACAGGCTTGAATCAAATATATGAAAAATTATTTAAATTTCCTAACAAAGTGAGTTTCTAAATAAATATTTTCGGGTAAAAAATTTGGGTAAATTTGTCCCCCTAAATCCAGTAACTGTATAATGTACTTCCAGAATGATAAATTAGGCAATTTAAGCAAGTTAAAATATTTAAAGTCATTTTTCACGACTTAAAAGTTAGGCATTGTTAAAAAAATCAAAATAAGTTACTAATATAACTTTATATTCAATNAGGCATTGTTAAAAAAATCAAAATAAGTTACTAATATAACTTTATATTCAATGTAGATTACATTTGATTTACAACGTGACCTCTACACTGTAACCATTCTTTGTACAGCATTTTAAATTTAAAAAACCCAGTACAGTGGGGTCGCGTCACAGTGGGTACGTGGCATAGTATAGATTTAATCTGACAGTGATTAAAATCACAATCATAAAAGAAGCTTCGATGCTAATCTGTAGATAGTATTTAATTCTATGAAATTGGTGAATAATAACAAAAGCAAAGTATTTTTAATTATATATTATATAATTTTTATAATTAATTCTTTTCAAATTATTATTGATTTTATTTTTAATATGTTTAAAGTAATCATTTTAAACCTACTTTTTTTTGAGAAAGTTTATAATAAAAAAAAAATGAATTTATTACCATAACTTATATCTCAACTTACAAGTTTGAAATTGAATTTATTAAATAGAAAAAAATGAAATTGTTAAGATAAATATGCAGTCAGCAAATTTTATAATTAATCAAATAAATACCAGTCACTCACGAAAAAAAAAATATATAAACTTTAAAAAACCCAGCACAGGGGGGTCGCGGCACAGTGGTGACGTGGCAGAGTTGGATCAAGTATAATGATAACTGTCAGTGATTAAAATCACTATAAAAAAAAACGGTAGCCCAGTGGGGTCGAGGCACAGTGTGGACGAGGCATAGATGGGACAAGTATAGATGATATCTGACAGTGATTAAAATCACTATCATAAGAAACGCTTCGATGCAAATCTGTAGATAGTGTTTCCTTTAGAGAAATTGGTGAAATATTTTAAAAGCAACATGAACTCTTATTTCTTTAATTATATCCTGATTAGTAGTTCTTTGATTTTAAAATATAATATATGAATAAATACTAATTATAGTTTTTAAATTTAGTATGAAATTGTGAGGCCAGCTATGATGTATGGTTCATAGTGTTGGGCGGTTGATAAGAAAGTAGAGCAGAGAATAAGTGTAGCAGAGATGAGAATGCTTAGTTGGATGAGTGGAGTGACTAGAGAAGATAGGATAAGGAACGAGCATATAAGAGGAAGTATAGGTGTTGCGTCAATCGTGGATAAGATGACAGAAAATAGACTTAGATTGTTTAGTCATGGTATGAGGAAAGAAGAATCGAAAGCTGTAAGAACAGTTATAGAAATGAATGTTGAAGGAAGAAGAGATAGAGGAAGACCAAAAAAGAGATGGAGGGATGCTATTGAATGCGATTTGAGGACAGCTGATGTGAGCGTAGAAGATGTGGGAGATCGTGTCAAGTGGAAGCTTAGGATAAGGGTGGCCGACCCCAAGTAGTTGGGATTAAGGCAAAGAAAAAGAAAAATATTACCAGATATTCCGGTGGCAATTGACATAATATGATTGTTATTTCGGAATGTACAATTTAGCGTTTAGTTGGGTTTAAATAATATAGCGTCAAATCAATTACCTACTCTATCGGTTGTATCTCAATATACACTACACTTTAATGATACAATAAATAAATAAACTCACACATACACACATATGCATTTATAACATTGTGTCTAATGTAAGTATAACATGATAAAAAGTAACCGTAAAATGAAAAAAATGGAATATAAATTTTATTACTCATATTAAATGTAATGTAACTCGAAAAATATTTGTTTAAATGAAAAAATATAAGATTATATTTTTATTTATAATTGTCTTTTAAACAACTTTTGTGCGAAACTTTTTTTTGTAAGTTAAATATTTTTTTTTGAGAAAATTAAGAAAGCTCATATTTTTGAACTTTTGCGAGGATTTAAAAAAAAAGCTCAATTCCAATCTTGAGGACTATTAGTATGTCATTATACATATTTTAATTCAACTTTTAAAAAAACAAAATTTTTTCCGCAATTTTTCCTTTGTTGACAGGCCTAGATGTCAATTTTAAACTTGTAATTGAGCTAAAAGTTATGGTAATATATTCAATTTATTTTACTATAAACTTTCATAAATCTTTATCAAAAATTTTTCATCAACTTTAAAGAACCAAAAAAATAGGTTAAAATTGAAAATTTGGACTGATTATTTTTAACATATTAAAAATCAAATCAGTAATAATTTGAAAACAAATTTTTTTTTCTTTTAATTATTATTTTATATATATAATTAGTAATAATATAAAAAATTAGAAGTGATAGAAATAGTCTACTTGCAGATTTGAAAACAACGCGAAAATTTGATTTAGAAAAGTATATTTTTGCTTCTGATGAAAGTTCCTTGTAGTCCAGTGCATTTTTTTATAGTAACAAACAGTTTTTATTGAAAATTATTGTATCAAGCCCTTTAAATTTTTATACACGTAAAAGTAAAGCAAAATATAACTTCTTTATTATTTTTATAATTTCTCCGTTTAAATTACAATATTAAATATCAATTTCATACTAAATTTAATAATTATAATTAGTATATATTCATATATTATATTTTAAAATCAAAGAACTACTAATCATGATATAATTAAAGAAATAAGAGTTGATGTTGCTTTTGGAATAATCCACCAATTGCCTAATTAAAACAAAAAAAAAAAAAGTTTGTTGGGAATTTTTTCTGCTATTCTGCAAAATTACTCCTTCGTTGACTAGAATGAATCATTAAATAGAAAATTTTATGAGAATTAAAACAATGTTATTTTTAAGATTAATATGCAGTCAGAAAGTTTTATAATTATTATTTATTGTAAATTTATCAGAAAAACTCATTATTTTTTGCATTTTTATCGTAATAGAACACTTAAATAGAAATCATAGTAATCATTTCTAAGTAATTTTTGATATTTAAAAAGATTCTACTATTGAAATATCCAGAACTGAATTAATTTTAATGATTTACTTTAACTAAAAAAAAAAAAGTTAATATTTTGAATCCCTCTTGTGGGCAGGTAAAGGGTTAGATTTATAAAAAAAACCAAATGATAGATAAAGACATGCATCTAAATAAAAAAAAATATACTGATTTGGTCATTTTTGATAAAGTTATAACAATTAACAAAGTTATAAGTTTTATACACTGGACTACAAGGAACTTCCATCAGAAACAAAAATATACTATTCTAAATCAACTTTTCGCGATGTTTTAAAATGTGCAATTAGACTTTTTCTATAACTTCTAAGTTTTAATATTATTAAAAAATAGTTTTTACATATAAAAAAAAATAATTAAGAACAAAAAAAATTGTTTTAAATTAATACTGATTTGATATAATATTTAATATTAATTTGATTATTAATAAGTTAAAAATAAGGAAAATGACATATTTAACCTATTTTGTTAATCGTTTAAAGTTGATTGTTGTAAATGTTTATAATAAAAAAAAAAAATTTATTTTACCATAACTTTTAGCTCAATTGGTAAGTTTGACATTGACATAATTAAATAGAAAATTTTATGACAATTAAAAAAATTGTATCGTTAAGATCAATATGCAGTCAGAAAGTTTTATAATTACTATTTATTGTAAATTTATCAGAAAAGCTCAATATTTTTTTGCATTTTTATGGTAATAGATAACTTAAATAGAAGTAATAGTAATAATTTCCTAGGAACTTTTGTTGTTTGTTGAAAAGATTCTATAATTGAAATATTGAGAACTTAATTAATTTTAATGATTTACTTTAACTAAATGTACCAATCAAAACAAAGTTGTTAAAAAGATTTACTCAATTGAGTGTATTATAAAATTTGATTATATTTGTAAAAATCAATTGTTAATTCAGGAGAAAAAACAATCATTTTTTTTAGAAATGATTTATATAGCAACATGTTACAAAAAAAAATTGTAATATTATAGTCTAGTAGTAGCACACACAAATAGAGTAAAAAAATTATTAAATTACAAAGTAAAATGATTTAATTTTGTAGTTGAAACCTATCATATCAAACTTCATTCGTTAATAAATATTTTGAAAACATTAGAAATTAATGATTTTAATTGTCTTTATGGAGACGATGTAATAACTAACTGTTTAATTGATAAATTAGAATTTTTTTTTCAATTTTTGAGAGTAATATCTTCAACTAGATACGAATTGTAGTAATTTGACGTATTGTTGAAAAAAGTAGGTCAAGTTAGAGCAGAGAAAATAAATGATAGTCACAAAAAAATATCTTCTCGGCTTTGCATCGAAGCGAAAACTTAAAATATAGTAAAATAATTTTAATACGAATAAGAAATTTCTTCTTGCAAGGGGCGACTAAAGTGATGGGATCCTTGATCTTTATTGAAGTTATTGAATCTAAATGTGATAAAAATCAAACGAGTTAAAATTTATACTAACTTAAAAAGAATTAAGAAAAAATGCAAAAAATTCATTGCCATATGCGGGTTGGAACCTCGTACCCCAAGCGTGTAAAACATAAATTTTACCAACTCGGCAACCGTACGTTGCTTCCGGCGGTTGAAAAATTGGCTATTTAAGCTAGTTCAAATTTCAAAGTTATTTTTCTCGACTTAAAAGAAACAAACATATTTAAATAAGTTTAACTATCTATACTATATCAATTTTAATTTATATAATATTTATGAAAATCTGTACTCCCCTTGTCAGGTATTTTAAAATAAAATAAAATACAAAACCCAGAATTTTAACACAAAAATAGCATATTTTTGCATACGGTAGTCATTTTTACCATGAAGACAAATCCAGAGGTCAAATTTTTTTTTTTCACATTAAAGTATATTACATAAGCTTTAATTTAAGATATATTTAAAAGTGTCAGTATTTCCGGAATACTTTCAAAAATTAAATTGAAAATATCGTAGTAACAATACGCATGTTTAAAGTTTTGACCCCCCTTGTTAAAGGGGTATGATCCGATTTACAAAAAAAGCGTGCCAGATGAAAGGGGTATATCAATATTTATTATAAAAAAATAATAATATAGATCCATACATTTTTCCAAAAGTTATATAAAATATAAATTAAATAATATAACATATAAAATCGAGATTTTTTTCACGGAAATCGTACGTTTTTCTTTAACTTTGATGTCCGTTTTCACCACGAAGACAAGTCCAGAGGTCAAATTTTTTTTTTTCAAATTAAAGTATATTACATAAGCTTTAATTTAAGATATATATAAAAGTGTCAGTCTTTCCGGAACATTTTCAAAAGTTAAGTTGAAAAAGTTCTACTTTCTATACGCATTTTAAAAGGTTTGCACCCCCCCTGTATAAAGGGAAATGGTCCGATTTTAAAAAAAAGTATGTCGAATGAAAGAAGTATATATAAAGTATTTATCATTAAAGAATAAAGTTGATTCATGCATTTTTTAAAAAGTTATAGCAACATAATGTTAAAAAATGTAAAATATAATATCAAGAATTTTTTCACAAAAATAGCATATTTTTGCATACGGTAGTCATTTTCACCATGAAGACAAGTCCAGAGGTCAAATTTTTTTTTTTCAAATTAAAGTATATTACATTAGCTTTAATTTAAGGTATATATAAAATTGTCAGTCTTTCCGGAACATTTTCAAAAGTTAAGTTGAAAAAGTTAATTTTTTGTAAAAAAGTTACCATTTTGAAACCCCATCCTTTGGGCTGTTAAAGGGTCAAATGTTCACAAAAATATATAAAATGATAGGTAATTATCTAAGGTATCTATAAAAAAAAAAATTATATTGATTCGGTCATTTTTAAAAAAGTTATGGCAATTTTAAGTAAAAAAAATTGAAAAAATATCGAAAATTAGCGATTTTTAAATTTGTAATTTTTTGGGGGATTTCCCCCGTTTACGGGGAACAAGGGAATTTTTTTCAATTTTTGAGGGTAATGTCTTCGACTAGATACGATTTGTGATCTTTTGACGTATCGTTGAAAGAAATCCGTTCGGTGAGAGCTGAGAAAAAGTGGTAACAGACACACAAAAAAAAACACATCATAGTAAAATTAATACCTTCTCAGCTTCGCATCGAAGCTAAAAAACGTTTCGATGCAAATCTTTAGATTGTGTTTAATTTTAAAAAATTGGTGGATTATTCCAAAAGCTACATGATCTGCTAGTTCCTTATTAATATCCTGATAAAGATAGAGTATGTCGAATGAAAGAGGGANATATATATCAGTATAAAAAGAAATGGTACAATTAAAAAAAAAAAGATGGCGGATGAAAGGTGTGTACATAAATTATTAAAAAAAAATGTATTGTTCCATTCATTTTTCTAAAAGTTATAGCATTATAAAGTTAAAAATTTTAAAAATAAAATCGAGAATTTTCACACAAAAATAGCATTTGATAGCCATTTTCACCGTGAAGACAAAATAAAGTTCGAAATTTTTTTTTTCATAATAAAGTATATTACATAAACTTTAATTTAATATATATATAAAAGTGTCAGTATTTCCGGAACATTTACAAAAATTAAGTTAAGAAAGTTCTACTTTCTATATGCATTTTTATGTTTTGAACCCCCCCTGTATTAAGGGAAATGGTCCGATTTTAAAAAAAAATATGTCGAATGAAAGAAATATATAAATATTATTTCTCATTAAAAAATTGTGTTGATCCATACACTTTTCAATAAGTTATATCAATTTAAAATAAAAAATGTAAAATATAAAATCGAGAATTTTCACACAACAATAGTATTCGGTAGCCATTTTCACCGTGAAGACAAAATAAAGTCCGAAATTTTTTTTTTTCATAATAAAGTATATTACATTAGCTTTAATTTAAGATATATATGAAAGTGTCAGACTTTCCGGAACACTTTCAAAAGTTAAGTGTAAAAGTAAATTTTCTGTGAAAAAGTTGTTATTTTAATTCCCACCTCCGTGGGCAGATAAAGGGTCAGTTTTATAAAAAATATACCAAATGATAGGAAAAGACATCAAGCATCTATAAAAAAAAAAAAATTATATTGATATATTCATTTTTGAAAAAGTTACGGCAGTTTTTAGTAAAAAAANAAAAAAAAAAATTATATTGATATGTTCATTTTTGAAAAAGTTACGGCAGTTTTTAGTAAAAAAAATTGAAAAAATTTCGAAAATTAGCGATTTTTAAATTTGTAATTTTTTTGAAAGTTTCCCCATTTACAGGGAACAAGGGAAATTTTTTTCAATTTTTGAGGGTAATGTCTTCGACTAGATACGATTTGTGATCTTTTGACGTATCGTTGAAAGAAATCCGTTCGGTGAGAGCTGAGAAAAAGTGGTAACAGACACACAAAAAAAAACACATCATAGTAAAATTAATACCTTCTCAGCTTCGCATCGAAGCTAAAAAATAAAATGTTCCAGCGCGCACACAATTACAATTTACTGCTATGGACAAAAACTTTGACCCGGCGGTCCGTTGATGACCAACCAGGCTAGCCTTTAGAATAAGGGTCAAAAAAAAATTTAATATCCATAGTGTGCCGGAAATTATTAAGAACAATTCGAATCATAAGGCGACAATGTATGTGGTGAGGAGTGCATATGACGTTCGAGATAGGAAAAGAGCGGGGTGAATGTTCACGCAAATGCCGTCCATGAACCGGTCCGAAGTGGTAAACAACTGACTATCTCATACATGCACAAGCAAATCACACCACCTTATCATAATTATTTAAATGATAAATGCCGTCGCAACACGCATTCGGCTCAACCAAGATATCTTGGAACACACACACACACACACACACACACACATATATATATATATATATATATACAAATAGACAAACAAAATAAACAGATACTTTTTGTCACGTTACATATGACACGTTCATAATGTGCCACGACCCCACTTCTCTTGCTATCCAAATCTTGAAATCTTTGTTTCAATTTTTTTTATCCATTATAAATTCTTAATATATAATTTACGATTTACGATTTACATTATTCTTATTAGATAATTAAAGAAAAAAAATTTCAATATGCCCAAAAGAAGAAAACCAGCCACAGTTCTTTAAATTTAACAAAAAATGAAAGTAATGTTCTAATTAATTTATATTGTATTTATTTAAGAAATAAATATTAATTACTGTTGTAGAAAAACAAAGAAAGACATTATTGGATGTATTGTTGGAGATAAATAATGAAGAAGCAAATTTTTCAAACAAAGATTTAAGAGATGAAGTTTTAACTGTGATATTTGGAGTAAATTAATATAGTTAAAATTCTAATCAATGTTTGAACAACCCAATCATATGAATAATAATAATGCTATTTTTTTATAGGGCGTTGAATCTACTACTATAACCACTTCTTTTTGTATTTTAATGTTAGCTATCCATCAAGACATACAAGTGATATACATTTTTATTAGTTTTCATCAATATTTGATCATATTTAAAATTTAATTTCAAATTTACAGGACAAAGTTTATGATGAAATCTACCAAATAATGGGAGAAGGTGATCGGATAGTAACTATTGAAGATACCGTTAAGTTTGTATATCTGGAACAATGTATCAAGGAAACTCTTCGATTGTACCCTTTAGGAGCAGTGTTTATGAGATATCTTCAAGATGATGTCAAAATACGTAATTTCTTTGAGTGTATAAATATAAGACCAGTTTAAAGTCGTGATTTTGGTTTTTAAGGTAACTACACAATTCCAAAAGACACTACTGTTATTATATCACCAATAGGTACCCATCATTTACCAGAATTGTACCCAAACCCCTGGAAGTACAACCCAGATAATTTTAATCCAGAAAAGGTTGCTAAACGACACAAATATAGTTTTATTGCATTTGGCGGTGGACCTAGGAACTGTATAGGTACTTATGAGTAATTCATATTCTTATAAATAAATAAGACCGATTTCACATTTTTAATAATTTAGGAGAAAAGTATGCAATGTTATTTATAAAAGTTCTATTATCAACATTTTTACGTAACTATAGTGTACATACTAAATGCAAAATGTCTGACATAAAGTTAAAATTTGATTTTATTATGAAAAGCGTTCATGGATATCAAGTAACAATACGCCCAAGGGAAAGAAAACCAACTTACTAAGTAAATTGAATGAAAAAAATGTATAGCATAATCTTGAAATTTACAATTATGTTTAAATATTAATCATTAGAATATTAATAATTTTATAATATACATTTTATATTTAATATACAATATATGTATAAATCCTAACATTAAAAATAATTAATCGTATTATTTTTTAATTTAAAATTTATAACTCATAAAATTTTAAAAAATAAAAACCCTTTCTATTAATGTACTTTTTTGGAGATTTGGAAGGTTAAAATAAAATGTTGAAAATACTACAAATGTTTAATTTAGATAGAATATATATATTTAGGTTTAATAAAAAATCAAGTTTTTAAAAATTAACCTTAATTAAAGATGTTGTAAACCCATTTTATATTTTGATGTTTATAATGTAACTATTAGAAAGTGTATTACACTAATATTACATAAACTAATATTTAGAAAGTAATCATTAATACTATAAATTTTATGTTAATTATATCCTTAATTGTTAATGACATTATTCTTAATAAAAAGAATAAAAAAACCCAACCCAACCTGACTACTGACTTGGTGATCAGTGTTCCATTGGTGAATGTTACATCATAGTTATTACTTTTACTCTTCCCGAAGATACTTATTCGCGTGGTCAAATTGGACTTATAACGCCCAGTTTACCACATATTATTTGGAATCCCTGCCAAATTCGATTCAGTTGGACATCAGGATACACCTTTGCAACTCTGGAAACTTTGGACTCCGCTTGAACGGCAGAATAGATTGGTATAAGGAATTGGTAGATTGAAACCTCTAATCAACTAAACAACAGCGTTTTGGAAATTTTAACAATTAAAATTTTTGGCAATAAAAAGTATGTCAAACAAAAGTTATCTTTCGTCGCGCTCTCTACATCTAGTACTCCGAACTATAAATTATAAAAGAGAATCACTTGCTATTTCAATGTACGTAAAACGAACCTATTGTTATCTAGTTGAAGTAATAATCATCAAATATTGAATATAATTTTAGAAATTTAGATAAATATCTACTATATAATAAAAATTGATTACTTGTGCCTAATATTACTTAAAATTAAAATTATATTAAAACTATTATTAATTTAAAACTAAAGATATTAAAAATATTAAACTCAAAAAGCCACAAAAAATTACTAAAAAATCGCAGATACGTATTTCAGAAACAATTTACCATTATCAACGCTAAATACATACTGACACGCCGACTAGAAAAACTCCCTTCTATACTCCTAGTGACCTTATCACTAAGTAATATAATCATATTTTGCCAGTTTACACAAGTTTAATAACACATTTTTCAGTGGTCCAAGATCCCAATTAATTAAATTGTTTTTATTTTTAAACATATCTTTATTTGCCTTCCTTATATTAAGTTCTTTGTAATTATTTTTATTTTTAATTAGTTTTATTGTTTTAATGGCTGATTATGTGTCATTAAATGTTCAGCCACAGGAGATTGCTTAACTTCTTGATTTTTAATATTTCTTAAGTGCTTCTTTAAACCTGATCCCTATATTTCTTTTTGTTTGTCCTACGTAACATTTATTACAACTTTCACATTGTATTTTATAAATGCCTGATTTCTCCCAATTTTTTACCTTATCTTTAGGGTTACCTAATAAATCTCTTAAATTATTATTTTTAAATATTACTAAAGTAATACCAAAATTCTTAAAAAATTTTAGCTAGTATATTGGAGATACCAGGATAATATAAAATGGGTTATCTAATTACTTTTTATTCCCTCACGATAGTGAGTGTACTAGCTGTCCTCTTATCTTTATTTTACATTTGTGTTCGGACTAATTTTGAAATTATGTTTTCGTTATACCTATTAAATTTAGCTATATCTCCTATAACCCTCAATTCTTTATCGAAATCTAATTTTTTCATGGGAATATTAATTAAAAATATTAAAAGCTGCCAATTTGTATTGCCAGTTGTTTGGCAATACATTCATTAATTATACATTTAAAATCTTTGAGTTTTTCAACGTTATCATCATTCAATAACACTCTACAACCATCGAGTATTCGCGACTTCAACACTAAATGAGTGCTATCATGATAAATTGCTTTAGTTATTTCGAAACTATTATTTTAACAAACCTAAAATTTTTATATTTTATGATTATTTTACATTATATATAAAACAGTTTTTTTATGTTTTTTCTTGTTAAATGTTTATGATAGGCTGCTTTATGATTTTTCTCTGTGAAACTGCCTTTATAGACGCCACAGTTGGTTTTCTTTAAATGCTAATTTTTTCAACACTACTTCCGTAATGTCATCTATGAAACGATCAGCCACTTTCTCCGGTTTGCTGTTTTTATCACTTCTGTATATTTTAGGTATTGTTTAAATATACTATTCCAACAACTCTTCAGTAAAAGCTGCCGATTTTCCTAGTATCTATAGCTCATTGCATTCATGTTCATGAACAAAATATGTATTACCTTTTGACTCTTTATCGAACTTGCTAACAAGCTTTCAAAATTAGCATAAATTGCAAATTTTCTTGTATTTTTTTTTCCATGACTCAAATTGTAACATCGATCTTTCTACGGGCATAACAGGTAAAAACGATTTGTTTTCAGTGTACATTTTTTATGTTCTTCCATTGCTTCAGCTCTGTGTAGTTTATACTTTTTAGGTATATTATTAAAGCTCATGAAACATCATTTACAAAATACAATTTTTGCCGTACTCTTAATCATTTGCGATTGAACCACTTTTCCAAAATCTGCATTGTATGCATAATGACATAATACATTCTTCATCGAATACTCTTAACAGATAAACCAAATGTTCGGGTTTATTATATTTTAAGTTACCTTTTAATTTCACATTGAAAACATTAACTGACATTCTTGGATTATTATTTACGTTCGAATATTTTTATATCAGTAATAGGCAGTGGCGACTGGTGAGTGCTAGTTGTAGGGATGCGATTATAAGTATAATACCGCTAGTCATAGATATAAAAAATTGTCAAATTAAATATAATAAAATGAAACATAATATACATATTATTATTTTAAAGCTTAATATTTTATTCAAAAAAATATTATAGTATATTATAGCATGCGTATGAATTTATGATTATATAATTAAAGAATAACTAATTTATAAAATTATTTTATGAATATAATCCATACGCCTGTATTTTTTGAAATTGATTGTACCATTATGAAATTGAATTGGTGAGCATAGCAGTAGATAGATTCCAATAAATAATTTTGAATTGTTTTGGAAGTTCCCATGAAAACAGTTGATTTTTCAAAATGATCACATAAACTAGAGTCTAAATCATCACAAAAGTTGAGAATTCCACGAGAAACGCCCTGATTTTTTGAAGATGTTTTTTAATCATGACTTCGTAATGGTAATTCTTGTTATCACATTTAGTACAATTTAAAATCTTAACTAGAACTTAACGATTTTTATCTACTAACTTGTTATGGCGTTGGATACCTATTTTATAACCAATATGATGTCTTATATCAACTTTGCCTAACAAATTCAAGTTTGTCGCATTATGAATATGTTTGAATGAATTTTCATGCTTACCAATTCTCATAACTTCGAGACTCCAGTCATTGTTGTTAATGATAGTCGATCCTAGATACTTAAACTGTTTGACTTTTTTGAAAACATAATTCCCAGTTTTTATATTTTGTTCCTCATTTAGTAGTAATTCCATCACTTTTTTTTTCTTGATTTATTTTGAAGCCGACCGATTCAGCCTTCTCTATGAGTGTGCTTGTATTTTGTATTACTGTTTTCTTGCTGACTCCTATCAGGTTAGGATCATCTGCAAATCCCAGTACATAAATTCATGTGGCACCAATACTAGTCCCTAAGTTGTTACTTTTGTTGTACTTATTACTTTTTCCAGTGTTATATTGAACAACAGCGCTGAGAGCACATCCCCTTATTTTAAACCAGTTACGAATTCAAATTCTTCAGATAGGGTTTGATCAACTCTCATCCCATACTTCATGCCACTCATGCACATTTTTGTAAGCGAAATGAGTTTTCTTAGGAAACCAAATAATTCAAGCATGATACCGTACAGGTTATCGAGGTGAATACCATCATAAAATTTCTTAAAGTAGACTTACCATATATTTTACCTGAACTCGTATTTTGGATCCAATAATTGAAAGCTGACAAGTTGTCAATTTCCCCTTACGGAAACCGCCCTGAAACTCCCCTATGCACGTATCTGCTATTGGTTCTAGGCGTCTTAGCAATATTTTTTAAAATACTTTATATGAAGTATTTAGTAAAGTTATTCCCTTGTCATTATTGCAATTCAGTTTATCACCTTTCTTATAAATAAGTATTACTATGGCTGTATTCTATTCTTGTGACAATTCCATTTTTTTCCATATTCTGCTACAGAATTCATGGATTATTTTGTGTACATCAATGCCTCCATACTTTAATAGTTCTTCTGGAATCCCATCTGATCTTGGGACTTCCAGTTTTTTAGGCTATTTATAGCTCTTATGGTTTCTATATTTAATATACTTGAATCGGTCATTTCAAAAAGCCATTTCTCCACATTTTTTCAAAACTACTTATATGTGATAGATGTGTTTATCTAATAATAAGGCATATTTCCTGCGAGACCGTCATATCTCCAACAACTCGTTATAGTCTAAAAATAACGAGTGCATTCGAAAAGGCTATTTCTCCAAAAATAACTTGATCAGCAATTTTATTTGTTAAGATTCTATTTTAATG